TTAAACCTGCGTAATTATATCAATCGACAACCGCGAATTCTTCGAGCATGAATTCTTTTGTTCAAGCTTTAAAATTTATAAATATAACTGACTGTCTGTGTGTGAAATATTTAAAAGAAAAATGTGTATGTACAATCTATGTAAATCGTGAATTTTTTTAACGTTTCGACGAATTTTATTTTAATACATTAACGAAATCTCTGATCTAATTTTTAAATTGACATTGGTCTATTATATTTTTTGGATTAAAACATTGATAACAGTGATTGTCATTAGAAACTTGCTGTTTGTAGACATTGTGATTTAATAATAAAACCATTCCCCAATAATTGCGTCTTCGCAGATCAAAAATAGTCACGCATGATAATATGCAATATTATACATGAATATAATATACAATTCTATTATATGAATAATATATTATATGAATAAAATATGCAATTTTATGGTAATATAAATTCAAGATATATAGAAATTTGTATATGTATACCGTACTTAGCAATTTATGTTTATTATCTAAAATAAATACGTGACATTCAAAAAGAATGTTCTTTCAAAAATATGCAAACATTTATATTATTTCAAAAAGATAAGTATACATTTCAAATTATCATTGTCCGATTACTTTACAGGAACGTGTTTTTTTCAATTTATTCATTTCATATATATATGTCTCTTGCTCAGAAGTAACAAGAAAAGCTTCGATATTAATATCGCAAATATACATATAATTCTTAGAAAAATGTATCCGCGTTGCACAATCGATGATTATTCCACTTGAATCTCTTCACAAAAGCCAAAAGCATTCACAATTAAATATAAATTTCGTAAATATTATTCTCAATTTACTCTCTAATCATCTGCAACAACGATAACTTTATTCCAAACATCGTTGTATATCATTGTATCATGTTCGAAAGCGCAATATAATATTACAAGCAATTCGATACACGATGATACTATATCATTCTAAAATATAATTTTGGATAAAAGAGAGAAGGGAAAGTTTTCACAAAAAAAAAAAAAAAAAAAAAAAGTACAACACGACATATTTGTCCGCGTGTTTGTCCATCAAAAACCGGAGAATTCCTTATCTCGTAACAATAACATGTCATCGCGTAAGGCGATTCGTGGAATAATCGTCGAGAGCCGGCGAACGTACTTCGGATACACAACGCACGAAAGGTCACGCGCTGATGTAAACACAAACGGCGCGGCGCGAGGCCAGGTCGAGAAATGTACGAAGAAATGTATCGTATTACACGCATCGACCCGCGAATCTAGGATCATTTACAATCGTTTCCTAAAAACGTATGGCCACTCACCTGAAGATCATGACAGCCGTTATCCCTGTGACTGGCAGCACGTATCACCCCCGCACGCCAACCCCACTCACTAATTTTATTCACCTTCAGCTTGGTGAAACCACTCACCGAGAGAAACCTCTTTCCCACGATCTCCTCGCGAAACTTGTACGCCATATTACGATCGGTACACCGCGGCGTGCCGAATCCGCGACTTCGGATCGCCACAGCCGGATCCGCCGGTCACCTTTTCCTCGCACGTCCCCCTCCCCTCCCCCCCCCCGAGAGTAGGCGCCCCTTGTGTCTCCCACCCCCACTGTGTGTTCCCGCTCCGTCTTCTCTCTCTCGCTGACTGGCTCGATCTCACTCTCTTTCTCGCGTTCCCCCGGCCCCCCTGTCGCCGACCCGGTTTTTCCTCCGAGGAGCGTGCCTCGCCCCCCAAAAACAACAACCGCGCAACACGGGGGAGGGGACGAAGGCGACACTGTCACAAACGATCACTATTCCTCGACGGCACAAAGCACCACCGCTCCGCGGCCAATCTCTTCTTCCTGCCGCGCGCGATCACGAAGGGCCATTAAACAACAGAGCCATGAGGCGACGGCTCTCTCTCTCTCTCTTCCTTTACCAACACACACACGGACACTTTATTCCACACAGCCACTCCTTATTTCTCTTTTGCGTTCGGTGGATTCGCGTGCGCGCGCGCGCTCGCGAGAGACTCCTCTCTTTCGACGTGAAAACAGACTCGAACACGAGACTCGTTCGCGCACGACTTCAAGCGTACGTATACCTCTCTCCCACCTCTGTCCGGCGCGATTTTCGCCGTTCGCGTCTTACTTCACGATGTTTTCTCTCCGCTCCGCTCTACGGCGATTCTTCTCCACGCCACCGACTGTGCGCGCGCATTTTTGTTTCTTTTCGGGGTACAATAATATTCTGGTATATGCGCGCGATCGCTCCGAGACCGATGTGACAAGAACAGAGAGAGAGAGAGAGAGAGAGAGAGAGAGAGAGAGAGAGAGAGAGAGAGAGAGAGAGAGAAGGAAGAAAGAATAACGGAGCAAGTATCACTCTCTCGCTTGACGTCTCCGCGAACAGAGGCAACTCTCGAACCGGAGCGCACTTTCAACTTCCGGACGCACAGGTGTAACACTATTTGACATCATACACTACGCGACGGCGGTAAGCAACAAGGACTGCGAAAACGGTACCAATGTGAACGTGAGAGTGACACACACATGACCGTCCGGTGATATCGCGTAGCGCGCACTGCGGGCGAACGGCAGGGAGGCACAGCTCCTTCCCGTGGCCCGTACATTCCCCCGTCTCGCGCGCGCGCCTTCTCCCACCCTACTCTCTATCGCGCCTTCTCCCGCCGCCGGCGCGCTTCCCCCACCCCCGCTCTTCGCCAGCCGAGCGAGCGCGCGCTCTCTCTCCCCTCCTTTTTTCACGGCACCTCACTTCACCCCACTCCGCGTGGAGCGTCTCGCGCCTCACTTCGCCGCTATCCGTCGTGCACGAGACTGTCACGAAGGTAGGATACTTTAAGCTCGTAGTACCGACTGCGAGACGCGTGCGAGTGCGGTCTTGCACGCGCGGGTGGCGAGAGAGAGACGGAGTCGTTGTATGGAAGAAGATGCGAGGGGCTAGGAGGGAATCGTTGTTGCTTCTACCTTCTCCCACTGCGTGTGCGACACGCATATTCGCGTTCTACTCACTTATCGACGTACATACGCCGCATATAACCCCTGGGTTTTTCCAACGTTTTTTGTTTATTTTTTTCTTTCTTCTTTCTCATTGTTAGACGGATGAGCGAATATTTCTCCCCTGAAAATGCAAGTTTTCGTCTTTCGTTCGCGGAAATAATTGATTAGAAAGAAGGAGAGGGTTGTTTCGAATGATTTTTCATATATTTAAAGCGTTCGTTGTGTCTTACAATTAATAATGTAAGTGTCCAATGGATAAAGATCGCCTCATTTATTTGATTGATATTTTATTCTTGCAATAACAAAGTTGTAATTTCTATGTGATAAGAGTGATTCTTACACTGTGTTCTCATATTACAAAATATAGTTATCATAATATAACCCTAATATAAATATAGGTGTGATTACGGTATTAATTATATCTGCGTTATAAACGTTCCGATGTAATCGCGCGCGATATTTAAACGTCGCAACTTTCAATTCCATTATAGAGTTGCTCTGCGGTTACATTCCAAAATTCCGATTTGCAAATGTAATAACGCTGTCTTCCTCTTTATTTACGCATGCAGTGCGATTATTTATGATATTGAGATGTTTGAGCCGCGGATATAATCTCATTCGAGCATTGTAATTGAAGAAATTAAGGAGAGAAATATCTTATTTTTTTTTTACACAAATTTTTCAAAATTTTTATACTTATCTTTAACTGAAATGTGTATACCTATTATTTTTATTGGCAAAGTTTAATCATTTGATGAAATAATTTTAATTTTCTAAGCTTTTGATTTATACGTTATTAATATACGGAATATATTCGTGATATAAATCAAATTTTTCATTACTTTATTTTGATATTATTCTTCTTCTTCTTCGGTGAAAAATTTATGAAAAGATGTGGACACTAAAAACCTTTTTTTTATGTTCCGGTATAGGAAGCTTTACGTATAATTATTAAGATTTCTAGTCGACATTTCCTCCTTTTTCACTACAGGATTTGTGTTTGTTTGCAGTCTCGTGGTGAACCAGAAGACGTTTTTGCCGATGGAATTTCCCTGTTATTTTCTCTCTTTTTCTGTTTTCTTATCCTAGTTTTTAGTTTTCATTTTCTTTTCTCTCTTGTGACCGGAAAATTTGTGTTTACGCGCTTAACGGATTGCCGGAAGACGTTTTATGGTTGCAATTTTTAAAATCGGTGAAACGTTTAAGAAAAACCTCTAGTAAAATGCATTGCATAATATAAAATGCCCTAATTAATATAACGTTGTAATACAGCGTGTCGATGAAATTTAATAATAGCTTAAAGAAATTTATAATGCTTCCACGTTATTAAAGCTTTTTCAACAGTTTTCAACTTTTTATTCGTTAAAAATAACTTTTTTTACTTGCTTGTTTTTTTTTTTTTCAAGATGTTTATTCATTATAATATTGAACTTTGAGAAACTGTAATAGTTAATTAACAATGACATAAATTATGTTGCAAAAAAATATTCGAATATAACTCAATAATATTATATCGAATATTCGATATATCGAAACATAGTTGGCTCTGAATTTCGATGCAGGCTCGAAAGTTCAAATTCAAAAGATAAAAATATTAAATTGAAATGAAAAAAATCTACATTAGCTTCCTTCATTCGATTAACGCAAACGTCATATAGAAAAGATGGACAAACAAATCGGATGAATTAGATCTAATATTTCTGAAGCAAAAATAGACTAACAATAAATGATCGTCGATTATTGTGTCTGTTGAACCCGCCGAGGTATACGGGGCTGACGTGTCACGTGATGAAAACACGCCGTGACGTCACACGCGCAGTAGCAGGCAGCCAGCTGCCAGTCCAACATGGCTGACCTGTGAGCAGCGGTGCTACAGACGGCCGTCCGCATTTAGTCGTTCGTTTCTAGCCGTTCGCGCGCGTTCCGCCGAGCCGCAAGAACCCGTTAATATGATATCGTCCATCGTCTCGCGTCTCGTAATGTGAGTATACGATCCCGACGTCCGGTATCGCCGTAAAAGAGTGCTTTGTGTGCCGACTTGGGTCGACTATGCGACCCCGGGCCATCGCCATCGTTCGCCGTCCGGAGAAAATCCGGTGCGGTTTATTTTTACTCGCACGGCGGCTCTACACGTGTCGTCGAGATGCGAGATGTTCCATTGGATTTTCGCGTCTAGTGATTTTCTCGTCGCCTGCTGCGTTTCGGCCGTTCGCTCGATCGGTGGTCCGTCTCTATAGATACCGCGCATATATACGTTCTTTGTATATCTGTCCCTCTCGCTCTCTTACCGCTCGATCCCGACAGTTCGCTGTCATGACAAAGAGAACAAAAGACGAAGACTGGAATTTGACGCATCGCTTGACGAGACGATACGATCGGTTTTGTCGTTGAACGATCATCAGTGAATTTTCTCTCTTTCTCACTCTCTCTCTCTCTCTCTCTCATCCATGGTGGAAGATTGTGTCATCGCGTCCAGATATTGAAGAGAGGCATTTCCATGTTTGGTGGGATCCTTGATACAGCGGAATCTTCGCGGTGGATACCAAGGAGTGTCGCAAGAGGAGTATCGCCGGAGAAGTTTAAATCCACGAAAAGAAGGAGGGGCAGAAGAGGAAGGACGTCGACCGGATCCGGAGTAAAGGTAGGATAAATCAATGTCACTGACATTTTCGAATCAATGCGCAGTAGAGAATCGGTTAACGCGACGAGAACAAGCGATGATATAACGCGGAAGAGATAAGGGTCTCTCGCGCGAGTGATGATAAAATCGTAATTCCTAATTAATGCGGCTAGTTGAGTCAGCGTCAGAGTGAAAGCGAGCGTTAGTTTTGCAACAATCTGTTGTGGTGAGGACGTAAGAACCTAACCTGACCCAACGTCACTATGTCAAAATATATGCAGATGTTACAAAACTTCAAGCGCGATTATCGGTATATTACATTTGCTTGCGAAAATCGGAGCAGCGAATGCGCAATGACGAATATGTCTTATTAAGTATTTTTATTAGAAGCATTATTTGATGTTAATATTAGGTATATAAATATTTGCGCAGAAACGTGATAGTTTTCTCACGTTCTTTTTACATTTCCACATGTCAGTGAATTAAAAAAAATGATATAATATATATTCTCTTATATTTTGGATAAAAAAATATACAGATAAGATAAATAATGATCTGTAAATAACAGGCTGTATAAGAATTATATACTATTGTTCATAGTAATATTAGCAACTTGAAACAAATTGATATAAATTTTAATTTATTATTATACACATTTATTAATCTCACGTGCCAAAATACTTTCTATCGGAGAAATGAACATTAACGATGCTTTTTTTTATATGGAAAATATAAAAGAACCCAATGATTTTTAAATTATTGATCGTGCCTAAAATTTGTTAGAATCTTCTATATGTATATAGAGCGAAAATCTTACTTAATTTTTTACATCAGTTCGAAATGATTTCAATATTTAAGATATATTTTCGCGTGACGCATACACGACGAGATGTTTAAGAACATTGACGTTCTTTTATAATTGGAAAATAATATAATAAGGTGATCGTTGAAGCGAATGAAATCAAAGCGAATGAATGTCAAAGCAATCGCGCGCGCGATAAGCAAACGATGCGTCCCGCGGCGTCAGCTGACTCGAAAGCTACGTCACACAATAGCGCAGGTCATTGCACTCTTCGCTCTCCCTCGCTAAGAGGCACGTTTTGTTTACGGTGTTGTCCGAGTGCGCTCGCACACTCACGCATGTCCCCGCTCGTGCGACAATGTGCGTGAAACGTCCGCCCCGATCTCTCGTCCCCGGCTTGTCATGTGACTCACGGCCGCACGCTGCACTTGATAATAAATTAGAACGCAATGGAGAAACGCCATTCCGAGATCTGGTACAAGGTAAATCAAGCGGCCGAGGAATCGCGGAATTTTTTGCACGACACAGAAAACCAAAGAAAAGTTGTATGAAATCTTTCAAACATTGATATACGAAGAAATAAATGTCCATAAATATTATAAATCTCGTTGTCAGTATTAATGATAAAACTCTGCTAAATCATATTTTAATTTTTACTTTTGGTTAAATCCAAAATGTAGCAAATACTACAAAAAGGAATAAAAATCGCAGTTCGGTTTACAATATTAATAGGTACGTATATTATTAATACATATTAATACATGGAGAGAATTTTCTTAGAATTTACTCTGAAAATCATGATAGTCGTGAGACAATATGGTATTGGAAGAATTTTATAAGTTTCTCTGATTAAAAAATATTTACCACAATAGAAAATATTAATACGTACATAGTAAAATTAATAGAATATATTTTATATCTTATTGTGGGAGATATTAATATTTTTGTTGTGATAAATATTAATCATAGAAACTCATATAAAATTCTTCCAATATCATATTGTTCCACGATGCAAGATTTTCAGGGTGAATTCTAAGAGAAAATTCTCTCTGTTGTACATACGTATACATTAATATAGATATATATAATTTTAAAATTGAAAATTCACCAATACTTTTACGCGTAATATATTCTTGTATATATAGAAGAGGGATTCTCGAGTAAAATATAAAAAGTGTTTCGTAAGTGTATTCGGTTTACCAAATGCGTTTCTGCTATTCCACAACGCCACTATGTATACATTTCCTTTAGTGCATACTCCATTACGTGCCATCTATATTTGCATGCGCGTTTTATGGTGACTTTATAGAAAATTTAAAAGCATGCCTTTTTGGATATATACAGAATATTTCAAAAATATATATTCACGAGTAACAGTCGATTTTTGTTTTAACTGTTTAATTTTGACTTTAAATATCTTGACAATCAAACTTCAGAAAAAGAAAGGCTCATTATTTACATTAAAGCTCACATTAATTGAGAAAAACAAATTTGTATTCTGTTAAAATTCTAAAAAAATTTAATTTATCAAAATCTTTTAATTTTATTTAAATATTTTCATTGAAATAAAATTTTTCTTTTTTCTTCTGTAAAGATTTTCTACGCTTTTATATTCTATCTATGTGTAAAGCGAACTAGATTTTTGTTAGTACATATTGAAGAACTTGATTGAAGAATATCTTTTAATCCTTTAAAATCCGAACAATTTTATTCCAAAATTACTTTTTTAAAGTTCAATTACAATAGAGCTTCAATAAAATAGAGGCTTTTAAAAGATTTTCAAACCGAAACCATTGGATTTCAAAGGGTTAAATTTCTCATCTTGCTCTTCTGTGCATAGAAAGCGCGCAGTTCGATCGACACGGAAATAGCACTCGACATCGAGTACGACATCTGCATCTAACAATAATGGTCGATCTTTTCGCAATATAGTTTCTATATTCCCGTACTCTTTCCGCGCGCCTCTGATACTTTTGGCGAATCCTTTCGGAAAAAAGTCATCGACAAAAAACAAGCATATCGAGAGAGAGAGAGAGAGAGAGAGAGAGAGAGAGAGAGAGAGAGATGCTTCTAGGTACAAGGAAACTTGGTCGTTCGTTGGATCGATGCCCGGTTGGCAACAGGAGGGTGGTACTCCATCGTCGTTATACGAAGGGCGCTTATATGCAACCGTATACAGTTTCTTCATTACTTGCATAAAAATATTTTTATTTTAATCGAATTCTTTAACTCGAAAAATTTTTAATTTTATCTTACATATCACACACAAACATACACGTACAAACTTATTTCTCTTTGAAAGAACGTGATAGATCGTATATAATTTCGGAAACTCCAAGTTGAGTAACCCATAAAATTAAGGTCCCCCACCGTCGCATTTATTACTTAGTTATATGCTAATTTGTTGTAGTAGTCTGGATTTTGTTGCTCCGATAGCAGCAATGTAGGAGAGACTGGCTTGATATTAAACTTATACATATAATATGGAATTATATAGATATTAAACACAATAGATAATTTTTATTAAAATTTGTCTTATTATGACAAAAAAATGATGGAAATCAGAGATTTTAAAACAGGATTCATATTATATATGAAATTCATTTTAGATATGCGTGCATAATGAATTTTATAGATTATAAATATCATTTGTCTTAATTTGCTTTTAACTTACAATTACCATGTAAGGAATTATATATATAAGTATTCAAAAAAACAAGTAATGGAAATAAGCTAATTAAGTAAGTGATATAATTAAAGCATTTGAACAAATGTTTAAAAGCTTCGAATTAAAAATTCGCGACACAAGCGTTTCTCTATCTCTCTCGCGAGATTTTCATTAATAATATAACAACTGTTTAAAATAATTTCCAATGACGTCGTAACACTTTATACATGTGTGCATTCGCGTTTGCCTTTCTCGAACGTACACCTACGGGACTAGAAGACTCCTAACACCGGTGCAAATCAATATTCCGTACACCCTTGTACGAGAGATCGCGTTAACCTTTCTCGCCCTCACACAAGCTCGTCGTAGCGCCCTCGACGTCTACTCGACCATCGTGTGAAGGGCGGCGGGAGCTTGTTTAGTTCTCCCTCCGGTTTTGTCCTATCCTTCTCGTCGAGTCGACAAGAGCAAAATAACTGAGGGGTCGCATATATTTACATCGGACCGCGCAAAATTCTTCCACATCGCGGAAATGCGACTCTCGTTTATATATCTATAATTAACGCTAAAATCAATAAGTATTTTGTTATATATCTTATTTTATCTATTTTGTCGAGTTTAATGATATAAAATGTAAAATATAAAATATAAATATATAAAATATAGAGTTTAATTCTATAAAAACTTGTAAAATTCAAAAATTTTATTTTAAAACTCTCGGAAAATATATAACATATATGTATATTAAAAGTTTTAATTAGCTTGCAATGTAAACAATTTTATTAAACATATTGTATTCCAGTATATCGTTATTATTCGAATTTTACAGAAAAGAGCAAAGCATTATTTAATGAAATCAATATTATAAAGATATTTAAATAAAAGTTTTGTTTCATATTGGAATATGTTTAATTTATTCTGAAAAAGATCATTATTTATTAAAATTTAATAAAATATCGCGAATTATTAAATATTTATTAGAACCAAGATATATTTAGTCAAAATAATTATTAATATAGAGAAATGTAATTGTTATGATATTTTGCTTTAGTGGATTGTGCATAAAATAGCTCTTGTATGCTGTTCGTGTAATGTTTTAAAATTTCCAAACTCGTGGGATTAATATAATAATAACAATTGTAGGAATTATGAATGTGCGAAAAAATAAAAACGCACAATATATAAAAGATAAGCGAGACTATTATATCACTAAACTAAAACTAAACTACATTATACATAATTTATGATTTTCGCTCGTAAATTCCATGCTCGCTGGACATCGTTGATCTCATAACCCGCATTCTACGTTTATTTCCACTTTGCATATCAAGAATAACGACCGCGTTATTACCTCACGCGCTGCATCCGGCCATGCGGCGACTTTTCAAGTCGCGTGGATACCCACATATCGTGATACGCAAAAACATAATCACATGCACGCGCGCGCATGTGTTTGTATCAGGAATCTCTACATTCTAAACACAATTGTATCGTCGTACAACTGGTCAGGTTTTCTTTTTTGTTGCGCTCTCACGGCGAAGGGAAATCCAC